CCCCGGCCGTCGAGGCTGAGCCCCCACCCTCCCAGTCGCCTACGCCTACGTGCACCGCCTCACGCCCGGGCTCCCCGGAGCTGCGGGCAGAGTGCTTCGCTCCCACTCCCCTCATTCTGGAAGCTTCCACGGCACGCCCTGGCCAGACCTCCTCTGCTGAACCGGGCGCTCGCGCGATGGTGAGAGATGGCTGAGGGGCTTCAGTCTGCTTGACTTATCACTCCCAGCAACAGTGATGAGGAATCCATCCCCGGACACTGTGGCTCCCTAGCTTAGCTATCACTATGTCAGAGAAGGCCATGCTTTGATTTTATTCTGTAAACAGAAACTAAGCATTGTCAGATCAACAGTTCTCCAGGCTGCTGATGCCAGGAGAGCCGTAGACTCTTTCCAGTAATGAGGCTTGTAAATTCAGCCTATTCCAAGCCAGCTTTTGTAACCTGAGGCAGCGTCTTACAAGATCTTTCTGCCCAACACATGGAAAATTACTTCTGAGGGTGTAAGGGAGCCATTCCTGGGCTCCTGGGAGCCACCTCCAGTACTTTGGGTTTTGATAAGTGTGGCTATAGAGTCATTTTTTCCTGTGTTCTCACACTTTAGCCCAAAATTTAAACTGAATTGTGTGTCAGTGAAAGTTTTGATAACTTTGTCTCACACACACACCATAGTATGCTAACTTAAAGAAAAAAGAATCAAAATTGGCCACATTCAAGAATCTTCTACTTAAATGTCCCTGAAATAAGAGGAGTAAGGAAATACTCATTCTAACTCAGAACTTTTAAAATTAAAATTACTCAAATTCATGATCACAGTTTTTGTAAAATTGGCATTAAAAACAAGAGGAATAGTAGCTGGTGTATTAAAAACAGGTAGGAAAGTTTTTAAATATTTGGAGTCTGACATTTAGAGGGAAAAATATCCTGTGACTAGACCCAAGACAGTTATTATTACAGTGTTTTGAAGATGTTGGTGTGTCTGTCTCACTCCCCATGCCCTCTTTTTGTAATAAAGGAAAGTTGCGGAAAGGTCAGATGTGTGCAGAAGTAAAGAGACGGAAAGTGTGACTGGAGAAGACTGAAATAAGGAAGGATGAAGTGAGGCTTGGCTCCTCTGAAGAAGGAATCCCTGAGGGGTGGATTTCCTTACAATGTGGGTGGCAGGTACAGCATCATGAATCCAGGCCGGGCAAGCAGATCCAGCCTTCAGAAGAATGGCCAGTCTTTTGGATAACTATGTTTCCAGAATTCCAGACTTACCACTGCCAAGGTCCTTTAACTTGACTTCCTGCTTCCCGAACCTCTGAAATCCTCAATTTGCCTGGCTAGTACAGGAATGTCCATGTATGTTTAACTGTAGAGTCCACCATTAATTATTGGTTACTATGACATTCTCCTGCTCTGTTGAGTCTCAACGTCAGACGTGTCTCTGAGATTTTCAAAATAGCCAGATGCTTCAATCACAGCCTGAAAGTGTTCCATTATGAAACCAAATCCTTCCTCTCATCTCAGGTTGCCAGCCCTGCCTTCTGCTGGTAATGTCTACTTGAATGTCCCCATGACAAACACTTAGCATCTCAAATCCAGATTTAGCTCATCAAATCCAGATCTCACATCCAGTTTCTTCATCTTGGCTACTGATGCTCTAAGTCACATGGGTTAAGAAAAAAATGAAAACAACAACTCTGCTCTCGATACCACCTACCCGGAGAGGTCTTACCTTTTTCCTTCTCATTTTCTCTGTCTCCTTCCATTCTTTCTTTCTTGCTAAAGAAACACACCCTTAATGCTACACCTCAAGTTCTATTCTCATTGGCCAACTTCCTGTGGCCGCTTCCTGTCCCAAACTGGGCACTCTATTTTATGGTTAGACTCATCATACTCATGATTTTTTCATCTTTAAACTCAAAAGAGTTCACAGAAGATCTGGAAACAATACTAACCCATGAACCTAGAATTCAGATAATTCTACTAAGACATTAAGCCACCTCATTCTATATCCTGTACTTGTTTGATTTGGCTTGCTGTCTTCCAAAGCAGGACAGATGTTTTATTTTTACACTGCCAAGTTTGTGTAGCAATCATTGACATCATTTTGGTTCCTGTATAGGCCAACCTTGACCCAAGAATGCAGGACGAGTATTTTTGTGTGGTGTTCAGAAGAAACTGAGTAGGTGAGGTTGAAAATTTTGAGAAAAGACACTCAGGAGTTGATCCATTTTGTAGTCTAACCCAGTGGGTGGGACCCTTCATTCAGTAGACCTGATGTAAAATTTACCCCCGTAAATAGCCTAGTCAAGATACAAGATATCTGGGCTATCTTCACATTCAGCACCATCATTCATTGACCGGAGGGCCATGAAACACGTCTTGCTTTCCACACATTCCCAGCCTACTATGCCCAGAGATACAGCAACCCACCAATGATTATGTAACTCTGGACTATCAGAAGTCAGAATGGCATGCTTAAAATGGTAAGACCAAAGTAAAAAACAAGAGTAAGCCTATGCTCCTTGGTTCATGTTACCTTTCTGTATATTAAGTGTATGAATGTAATAAGTGATATAGAGAAATCAGGAAAAGTAAAAACATGAAAGAAGAAATTTGCTGTAAATTTAAGTAAATGGTTCTGGGACAGCATTACAAAGAACATAATTGGGTTATGTAGTGTGGTCAAGGCGATCCTGGCACAATAAACAGAAACGCAGAGACCCTGAAGTTAGGGGAGAACAAGAGAGTAAACTGGCTTCCGTATTGTGAGAATAGTGAGATGAAGCCTAAGAACTGATGAAGAGGAAGAGGCAAACACCGGAGCATATGGAGAACCTGCCTGACTTCCTCCTTTGACCTAGGTGAACAAAAAGCCCTGTGAATGTTGTAAGCAGAGCAGAGGTGTGCCTTGAGAAGGGTTAAAAAAAAATAAGATTCCAGATGTTAGATGAAAACCAAGGGATAGGTCATGGCGAAAAGCAACACTAGAGACCGATTTAAGGTCTGAAGGCCAGCAAAGAGACCATAGTGGCTTTAACTACATTGGCACGAGTAAATCCAAGTTAATTTCTCAGCAAGTTTTATTGTACAGTCAACAAATTTTATGCTCTGGATGTGGGTGTGAGAGAAAAAATGTCAAGGAATATTTACTCAGTGAATATTTGTTGAGTGAATGAGAAGTAATGCTCTAGGAACATACTTCATACCTGGGGTGGACAGAGAGGGGAATGTTATAAGAAACAAACTGGAAGGAAAAGAACCAGACAACCGAGAGATGAAATGAAAGAAAGAGGGCGGAAAAGGAGGAAACCGATAAAGTCAGACAAACAAAACGGATCCACAAAAGAGAAGTTTAGAGGAAGGAGAGTGGTTTGAGTGGTCGGGATACAAGTTTAAGATCTAAACCCCAGAAGGGAGCAGGAACCAGATGGTGGAGAATGAGAGAAAATAGCAGAGCATTCCTTTGTAACTTCATCTAAACCAGGCCTTTCTGAGCACGTCAGAGTGCAGCCTTCCCCACTTAGGGATGATTAAGTTACCACAGAGCTGAAACTGCCCTTCATGTATGGAAGGTTTGTAACATGCTCCAGGGGCCCCAGCCAGTTTCCAGGTTTTCAAGCTATAAACTAAGCAAAGATGATTTCCCAGGTTTTATATATATATATATATATATATATGTATGTATGTATATAGTCATACACACACACACAACACTAAAGATCTAATGCCTTTTCGGTCAGTAAGAGAAAATGAGGTGAGCTGCTTAGCATATCAAATCCTCAGCTAGCAAAGCTAATTACTTAAAAGAGCGAGCATGGGTTGATTTTTATTGTGATCTTTTTTAGAAATTTACTTTCATTTCTTATGTTTCATTAGATATCAATAAGCATATAGTTTTCTATAAGAAATCATTTCCAACTAACACTTTCAAATTAAATATCATTGTTTAAATCTTAATTACATGCTTTAGTCACCTTATGTGGGATGTTCCCTAGGTAGATATGAGTTGTAAAGTCCATGTACATTGGAAAATGATGTCAGACAGAAAACTAACGGAGCCAAGTTAAAAAGAATAAACGTAGGCCAGGACCAAAAGCAGAGCCAAATCGTGCACGGCATTCTGAGAAGATGATTCTAGCAGATGTTTTCTGACTAGTCAAAATGATTGGGACAGAGCTGTCTGTACTGTGAGTCATCCCACAAGCCCAGCAGCAGACATTTGTGGTGGCTGCATTTCCCATCCAAGCATGTCTCACTGAAGTCCAGTCATATCGACATGTCTGTTGACACAGACAACTAAAACTCCACTAACTGTGACTAGCCATGGGATAATGTCATGTTTTCTTGTTCAACGGTAGTTTCTAGTGATTTCTTTCTGGTTCTCTTGCTTTCAGTTTTCATGTTTCCTTAATTAAGTATGACCCAGGGGTACGTTGCCCTGAAGCTAAGAAATTTCAAGTGTCATAAATATGCTGTAAAAAGGAGGAGTGGCTGGGAATTGTAGCTTAGTCTTGTTTGGGAAGACCGCCACGTCACAATCATGAATCATTAAGAAAAATATCTTAGCCACTGCCATAGAACTCTTAGATAAGGGGGCCTGAAAATTTTATTTTTAGCAGGGGGTTGCATGTGTGCTTCAACAAGTATGTGGTGGGGGGGCTCAAAGAACAATTTTGTAAGAGTAAATTATCTCTTTACACTGAGTTTCAGGGATGGTTTCTGGTTAAAAGGCTTCAGGTCACTGAGCCAATTCAGTGACCCAGGTCCTGAGTTTCATTTATCCAGTAATGTATTAGGATTCTTTTCTTTACACCAAATAAGTACACAGGTCTATATAAAGAAGGCCTTGACTAAAAGACCAGTATGTGAACACACTACTTTATAAATATAGACAAACATGCTTGGGTCCTTCAACAGGGTCAGGATATACTGAACAAAAATTAACTCATAGGGTATGGCAAGTAGGCCCATTTTTCTGACAGCCAATTGGGCTGGCTAGCTTGATATCAACTTAACACAAGCTACAGGCATGTGTGAAGAGGGATTCTCAATTGAGGAAAATGTCTTCATAAGATTGGCATGAGGATAAGTCTGTAATCAATTTTCGTAATTAGAGATTGATGTGGATGATGTAAACCCTTTCTTCTACAAGTTGTTTCCGGTCATGGCATTTCATCGCATCAACAGAAATTCTAAGACTCTAGCCAAATTTACACACTTGTTCCTTCTTTTCAATCTTAACAGCTAATGATTGTTCTCAGACCACACTTTCCATATCACACCATAAATATAACATCTTTGTGTCAGATGCAGAATAGCTAAAAGGATTAAAGAGACTGAAGCAGAGTATAAAGAGTTTCAAAGAATCTTGAGAGTCAGAGGCTGGGAAACTGAGATGCAAGAAAGTCTCTGCAGGAGGAATATGGAGAACCCAGACTGGAGATATGGAAATGCTGCTGCCATGGAGACAGAATGTAAGGTCAGAGTTGAGCTGCAGGAGTGAGGTGTGGGATTGTGCTCGCTATAGAGGGAAGAGCAGGACCGGATGCAGATGAAGGAATGGGTGCACAGTTGGGTGACAGGTCCAAACAGACAGACAAAGGGTGGTGAATGAATGGCAGTGTAAGTAAGCTATATCCACAGAGCATTATTGAAGTCCCTGAGACAGTTGGGAGCTCTCTGCCTATTTATCCTTTGATGGACACACTCGTGGTCAAATGGTAGGACTGTGGGACTCTCACCATGGCAGTGTCTGGGTCCTCCACTTCACGGGGTCCAAGTGAGGGAGCCTAACCTTTTCCCCAGCCTGAAGTTTAGTATGTTCTTGGGCTCAGTTTCCTGATATGATTTTAACCTTCCCTTGTGCTCCACTAGTTCCAGTTTTCTAGAAATTTATCAGGTAACTCTGCTTTTCTGCATAAGTTAAGTATGCTCTATACTTGTTGTATAGTGCCAGGCGAATGAGAGTGTTAACAAGTCCACCAAATGCAATTATCCTCCCTCTGCACATGGAACAAAACACTTCTTACAAAATAGTGTCTACCCGTCCCTGGCTACCTATCCCCAGCAATAATGGAGAGGGTACCTGAACCGACCAGCTACTATAGTAAGATTGGTGACTATCCTAATTGTCATCAGAAAGCCTTTATCGATTAACTAATGGAAGCCGATGCAGAGATCTACAGCCAGCTAACAGGCAGAGAGCTCTGGGAGTCCTGAAGAAAAAGAGGAGGAATTGTATGAGCCAGGGAGATCAAGGTCCTCCTATGAAGGGGAAACCCATAGAGACAGCTGACCTGAGCTCATGGACCTCATGAACTCTGAACAGTTAGGGAGCTTTCACGGGACCAGCCTAGGCCCTCTGCATGTGTGTGACAGCTGTGTAGCTCGGTTTATTTTGTAAGGCTCCTAGCACTGTCCCTGGCACTTAGCTGGGTTTTGGGAATCTCTTCACCATGTTGGATTATTTTACCCAGCCTTTATGCAGGAGGAGAAGCTGGGTCCTGTCTCAACTTGATGTGCCTTTGTTCAAGCCCATAGGAAGCCTACCCTTCTGAATGAAGACAGAGGAAGAGTAGGTGGGGAGAGGGGTAGATGAGGTATGGCGGGGAGAGGAGGGAGGAGAAACTAGTCAGTATGCAAAATAAGTGAAAAATGTCAATTAAATATAATTAACTAATTAAAAAGAATGGAGTCTATGAAGGAAAGACACAGTCTATTTATACAGTGTAAAATCACTTACAGCAGGGTACAGCTTGGTCTCCACGAGAAAAATGGAAACAATCCCTGACAGATCATAGACAGGTTCCTCTCTCCTCTCTCCTCCTCACCTTTCAACTCAGATGTCAAACTGTGGCTGGAAAATAGGGACTAGAATGAGACATTTAGATGAATTCAACTATGGATTGATATTTAAAAGAAAAAGTCACACCTGTATTAAAGATTCCTCTATGCTGATTGACAGATAAAAACCTCTATGCAGCTGGGTGGTGGTGCTGGCACACGCTGTTAATGCTGTTAATCCCAGTACTTGGGAGGCAGAGACAGACAGATCTCTGAGATTGAGGCTAGCCTGGTCTTGCAAAGTAAGTTCCAGAACAGTCAAGGATGTCTCTAAAAACCAAATTAAAAAAAAAAAAGAAAAGAAAGAAACAAAAAACCCTCTGCGATGTCTCAGCAGTAAGGTGCTTGCCTCACAAGACTGAGGACTTGAGTTTGACTCCCAGAACCCACATAAAGCAGAAAGATGAAAAGAGCAAATAGAACGTCTGTGGTTGTGGAGAGCTGGAATGTGCCAGGTCAAGAGCCAAGTTCTTTGGTTCCGTTTAGCTCTAATTATGGTCATCCATTGCCCACCACTGTGTTTCCCTTAATATCCATCCTTATGACTCCTAAAGAAAATCTATTGGCAGTATGTAAGAGACCACTAGCTTCCCTCAATCCAGAAGCTAAGAATGTCATCAGATAGCACCCAAGGCCTATAGCAGAGGTTTTCCCACTTTTCTATAACTGTTGCCACAGATTTATTTTTATGATAATATGACTTTGATTTGTTACAATCAAAACTTCATGGAACTGCTACCATGTTGGAAGATGGTGTTTTGTGAAGTAT